GAAGGAAGGATTTGCTCGAAAATTAGCACATATGTGGCATGGACCTTCTCGAGTGAGTGAAGTGTGTGGTGATCACGCTGTTCTCCTGAAGATCGCTGGCACGCCGTATCGGTTATTCCCGATCGTGCACATATCCAAGCTGAAATGTGTAAAAGTATTTCCCGACCGCCCGAAGCAGTTTCGGACGGTGGAAGAAGAAGATCGTTCTGATTTCGACGAGGGACTTTTGCCGGAGGATAGCTAGGAGCGGCAACTTGGAGATAACGAGTTAGAAGTAAAGAATGTTAAGGATATCCGATCCGGAAAAAAACTCGTTTTGGTCGGGTACATCGTCAATTTAAGGTTTACTGGAAGGGTTATACCGATCCATCGTGAATTAATGAGGCGGATCTGAATTGTGGGGCATTGTTGCAGGAATTTGAGCGCGAACAAGTTCGCCATAATCGTTTCGAAGTTATGCAGTCTCATGAAGAGGAGAAGGCTGAAGATTTGTGAATTGGTTATTTCGCTTACGGAGAGTGGAAATGGCTGTACAAGATGGTTGTATAGCTGGGGGAACTAGGATATATGTGAATTTGAGTGTCGATTGAAAGTCTGAAAGACCAGATCGCGGCTGTAAATGCCCAAAAAACAAGAAGACAATTGCAAGAACGACCAAAAGAATGAAACGAAAACAGTGAAATTGTATTAGATGCTGAGGAGATGAAATCAGATCGCGCTGAAGTACCAGATTGTGCCGGAGTACCAGATCGCGCCAAAGTATTAGACTGTGCCGAAATACCGGATTGCACCGGAATTTCAGATCGCGCCAAAGTATTAGACTGTGCCGAAATACCGGATTGCGCCGGAATTTCAGATCGCGCCGAAGACCCAGATCGCGCCGGAGTACCAGATCGCGCCGGAGTACCAGATCGCGCCGGAGTACCAGATTGCGCCGAAGTACTAGATCGCGCTGAAGTATCAGATCGCGTCGAAGTATCAGATCGCGCCGGAGTACCAGATCGCGCTGGAATGCCAGATCCCTCCGAGGTCGCAGATTGAGCAGAAGTACCGGAAGCGCTGCGGGGACGTTTACAGGGGACGTCCAGAGTCGGTGAAGATGACGCACGTTTACGATTGGGTGAAGAAGGATTGGAAAGCGCGAGAAGGCTAGTCGGAGAAGGAAGTAAGCCCGTAGCCAATTCTGCCAGATGCGAACGAAGTAAATCTCGATCCTGGATGGCCAGATCGCGCTCTGCCTCTCGATCTGCAACTTCGGTACGAAGTCGATCCAAAGCTGCGTCGTTCCGAATACTTGTACTCAGGAGGCGATCATGATCAAGCTTGAGCGCGATCAGTGTCTCTTGCAGTTGTTTCGCGGCTTGCTGGGCCTGAAAACGAGCTTTCTTGTACTTGGATGCCCTGCTTTTCATGCGTCGAATTTCAGCGGCCAAAGCACTGTCTGCCGTATTACGCTGTTCGAGGATGGAGTCAAGTTGCTGTTGGAGGGACGCGATCTACTGCCGGAATTTTCCTTCCAGAGTTCGCTGAAGATTGGCCGCCTCACGGCGGAATTTTTTCTGCAGGCGATATTTCTCTGCATTGGCTCGAAACAAGGCATTCTTCAGATCGGCGATCTCCTGAGACTGATCCGTTAGCTGGTTCAGTTCTTCGTCACCTTCGGCCATGTGGAGAGCGGCATCAAGTTGTTGACGCAACTCTTCATCTCGACGCAAGACGAATGTGCACAGTCGAGGCACCAACTCGTGATACGAGTTGAGTTCCGTCTCCAGCTGATTTCCACGAAATTCCTGCTCCTGCAAGGCATTTTCCATGGAGTGATAGCTTTCCACGATGGTATCCTGGGCTTCCAGGCGGTCATACAATGAAGAAACCAACGAGATCGCGTTTTGACGATCCGTAACGGGAGGAAGGATTATCCGGGTAGACGGGAGCAAGATACGCGATCCGGTAGAAGAATTCATCGTTGGATCGCGCGTGACGAGCACACCAGTTTGGGGGTGGCGATCGTTTTCGGGTGTAGATCTGGCCATAGGGACGAAGTGACGAGAAGAGTGAAGCGAGACAGTGCACAGTTAGGCCAACATTGTATGTGGGCTATCGGTGCAGGGGACGATTGTGGCGAAGTGAAGGAGTGAATTTCGCAAAGTGTGATCGCATATTTTCGGTTAAGTCCGAAATGGCCAATATTAATGAGTCGCGATCTCGCAGAAAGGTTTCAAGATGATGTCAAATGGGATGAAAAACAGTGAATGGTGTAGTTTGCACTTCTATGTGGGGTCAAATATGGCCTAGGAACTACGCTATTGCGATCTACAGTATTTCCGATGGCGATCCGCGTGAACGCGGTCGCTAGGGAGGAAGATGGGTACATCCAAGCATGTGGAGGACGGTCTGGTGTGGATCACGTCGCTATGGAGGACTGGAATGGTGGATATGACATGTCACATAGATGAACTATCTCACATGACCTGAGAAACGGTGAAGAGGACAAGTTGTGATCCGGCGGATCGCGATCCGATGCTAATTATTAGTATCGCGATCCGATATTAATTATTAGTACCGCGATCCGATATTAATTATTTAGTACCGCGATCAGGTACTAATTATTAGTATCACGATCCGATATTAATTATTTAGTATCGCGATCCGATATTAATTATTTAGTACCGCGATCTGGTACTAATTATTTAGTACCGCGATATGGTACTAATTATTTAGTACCGCGATCTGGTATTATTTATTTAGTACCGCGATCTGGTACTAAAATGGTATTATATCCGAGTGAGGTAGCGATCCAGATTGCGGCTATATTGGAGTGGACCACATTACAAGATCTGATTTTTCCGAAAGGGCGATACGTGGCAACAGATCCTGAGCTACAGATAGTCAAGATCATAGGTTTTGGTATTTGATTGGTTAACATTAACAGAGTTCAATTTGCTTCTAAATACACGTGTCGACTTCTCTTCCGGGCTGGATTCTTTGGCCTCCCGACGTCTCAAGGAAGTCTACATACTACGCAAGTGATATCCCTGGATTGTTTGGCCAGGGATTGCAAGAATTCTCAACAAAACAACTCAAGCTGCGATTGGACGCAGAGGACTAAGAAGTCCAGATACAAGATCGCGAGACGGCTCAAGTGGCCAGAAGGCAAGCGGATCAAGTATCTACATTTTGGACAAGGCGATCTCAAGGGAGATCAGGGCGACTCAAATAGAGCACCCCAAGAACAACTGCGATCGTGTGAGGAATTCCACGCGATCGCCCCCCACCTATCCCTAACACAATTAAGTTCAACATCGACTCAAGTCTACCGAGAAGAGAGCAACCCGCCCTACCGACGGGTACACAAGGTGAGGAAGGCTATACACACGGAATCGGGGTACCCCCTCCGTTAGTCGGTCGTCCGGGCGCCAGTGGAGAGTTGGGATCGCATCAGCAATCTTGCGAATCCCACTCCACCACATGAGATCTCTCCACCTACTGGCTTCGACCGTTTCTTACGGTCCAACACGTTGTTGCGATTTTTCACCCACGTCTATGGCCCTTCTTGGCAGACGGTCGGTCGTCACTCGCAGTGTGACGAGACACTGGTCGTGTGACACGCGTAGTTGCCCATCTTCTGGTAGCGATTGTACTTTTGCAATCGCTTGTATCTTGGAGAGAGAGGTCACTCGCTCTCTACATAGGAGAGGTTCATTGGATCTGGACCTCCGCCCTCTTGTCGTCTCGCTAGACGATAGGATCCCATGAAACTCTTGGCTTAAGTACTGCTGCTACGCTGCAGTAATCAATTGATCAAGCGACTCCAATTTTACGCGGAATAGGTGGGTCTTGACAGGAATGTTTGAAATACCCTAGATGAAGACATTTCCCTGCTTGTACTTGTTTATTAGATTCAGAACGATACAACGGACGGGGCAACGCGCGTGCTGGGAGTAAGCGTGTATATCACGTCTTACCTGCTTCAGATCCAGGAGCTTGGCTCGAGCCCTAAATTTGTTGCGAGGAGTTAATATGTCTGTTTGATCCGTGCCTTGAAGACGTAGTTCGTTGGAAAACGTATAGGTAATGCATCTTGATTCATAAGGCCCAAGCTTTAGCACTACCTATCACGTTCGACATGACAACCTTGACCTTCATCGCATCGTCTTCGACACGACGAGCGTCGATAGCATCATTGAGTGTGACGAACCGTCTCAAGAAGGATTCATCCTCGACTACCTTGACTGAATACATCAATCTTTAAGGATTCGGGTCCACGCATATGCGTCGGCCCGGCAGCAGCATTTACTTATTATTGTTTCAACAGTTCGGACTGTTAAGAACCCTTCTGCCTCAACAAGCCAACTTTTTCAACGCCTTGCTCTCTCAGCAGGTCATCATGTTGAGCACCTTGCTGCTGTAGTAAGATGAGCTTTTTCATCACTTCGTCAAGTTAAAGTACAATGAACTTGGCAATGATTGCATACTACTCATCTCCACTCAGAGAGGGCATCACGGCACCGATAACGGGACCGCCGACGGTTTCATCCATGTGCTGTATCGCCTGCCATTCAAGATTACTCAAATGGCAAAAGTCATCATGCGTCGCGTGATGACGTTCCTCATCCGCTATAGAACCAGTGGACGAGGATGAGTCGTTGGTCGTTAAATGGACCACTAAGCTCAAACAGGTGTAACGGGGCATCTCCCGACTGTACTGACACAGTGGAAGCACGTGACTCGTAGCTCTTGCACACTGAAGGAAGCAGAGAAAGTTATACAACTTAACGACACGCTTAGTTTTAGGAGATAGAAGAACTGTATTTTAAAGGCATTAATTTGACTAAATACTCTATAGCCTTGCTAGAACGATATGTAACCACCCACGAATATACCGCTCCGTTTGCACTTCTTCCTTCACTTGACTTCGAGCTTGAAGTGATGTACACGAAATACCCAAAGTAAGACCACTTAATGACCCAATTTAACAACTCTGATTGCAAAGTCACACAATGCAGACGTGGGAAGCCTTCGGCGCCGGCCTCGCCGTAGTAGCCTCTATCGTCTCTAATCTGGGCGTCAACATACAAAAATATTCGCACCTGAAAGAATTTACAAAGCCTGTACATAAGCGTCAGCCATATATCCGCCGTCGTTTGTGGTGGCTGGGGTTTGCCCTCGTGGTTTTAGGAAGCTTGGGTGACTTTACAGCCTTTGGATTCGCAACGCAGTCCCTTGTGGCGGCACTAGGAGGAGGTGCAACGCTCGTGGCCAATGTGGTCACTGCTCAGTGTCTTAATGGAGAGAAACTCTACAAGGTAATTGGAAAAAACGAAAAAAACTGACATAACTATCGTCATTTTTGAATCTTGTAGCAATAGTTACTGTATAACTATTTTCATATTGTCGTACAGACGGACATAAGTGGTGTTTTGATGGTTATTATGGGCGTAGTAATCATTGCTTATATTGCGGAACCAAATGTCGAGTATCCACTTCCAGAGCTCGAGTTGAGATTCGTCCGAATGCGTAAGTGGATAGAACGAAAGCAGCTGAAGATTTTATGCTGATAACGTTTACAATTTGTTGCAGCATTTGTCGTGTACATGACTTGTGTTGGAGTTTGTGTTGTGGGCATGCTGGCCACCATCAAAGGCTCAATGGCAAATCGGCTAAAGAACCAGGTGTATTGGTCTAATAAACGTCAGAAGAAACTCATGCAGGTTCGTCTTAATTTAGAGTTTTGGATTGATTACAGTGCAGCACTTTAATTCGTATCGTGCCTTGTGTGGTCTAATTTTGATAGCAATTTGAGCTCCGAGTTCAAAGACTTGAGCAACGACTTCTAGACATGGAAGTGAGACTGCTACAAGTTACTTCATTAGCTTCGGCACTCCCTACCGGGCTCGTGGAGCCCCCGGCAATGAGTAAGGAGCTGCGAGAGTTAATTGATCCGACCCATGCGGAGGATGCTGATGCAGATGAAGTAGCTGCGGTTCGAATATCTAGAGTTCCGTATTATTACGCTATCTGCTCGGGCATTGTAGGTGCAATGACAGTGCTGCTGGCCAAATGCTCGGCTATTATGATTGCGCTGACTCTCAAGGGCGACAACCAGTTCAAGTACGGCCTGACCTACACTTTTCTGGGCGGCATGTTTGTGTGCATCCTTGTTCAGACGCACTTCCTCAACATGGCCACTACGTTGGGGGACATTATGACCGTATTTCCTATTTTTCAAGCTTGCTGGATCACTTTTAGCGTTGTTGGCGGCGCGATATTCTACCAAAATGAGGATGAGCCATTTCCTACTACGGACAAGGTGTTTTACCCTCTGGCATTAATTTCCATCGCGGTCGGCGTTGGGATGCTGACGCAACACAATTCCTCTTCCGTGAAAGCTAATATAGGAAAAAGTGGGAAACTGAGAATTGAGACAGGAACTGAGGACGATATCATGGTGTGCGATACGAACGACGAGGAAGACGACAATATGCTGGCTACGGATGCTTCCATGAGTTTACCTCTGCTTCCCGCGAATGATGGTTACCTGCACCTGAGCGCATAGGAACTTGTTTTTTACATTGTGCAGTCAATCAAAATGTTAAAATGCGTTGATGGCCTCAATGATGCAGTGCCAACCATCGGTATTACGGAGAAAAACGGTATCACGGAGAAAAAACATGCCCTATTGCGACTTCTAATCATCATCTACGACAATATCCGGAAAGTCGTCATCGTCGTCATTATTCGCCATACGTGTAGCAACTGGCAATTGCTTGTCGTCATTTTCACTCTTTGCGCGTGCTGCAGCTTGCTTCGCTTTCTCTCCGTCATCATCTTCCTCATCTTCATCCTCCTCTATCGCAATGGATGCAACGGCCTCCACCGGTCCCTCCGTTGTAGCAGCCTGCAGACGTGCATCGTCGTAGTCCTCGTCATCCTTATCCTCCTCTCCTTCCTCCTCTTTTCCTTCCTCAAAAACGGTGAACGCCTTTTTTGACTTTTTCGTTTCGTCCTCGCCTTCCTGCTCATTTTCCGCGTCTTCGTCACCACTACTTTCGTCGCATTCATTTTTGTCCCAGTCCATGGCATCTCCCAAGACAGTGGACTCTTGTTTAATCTTCAAATTAGCCCCAAAGCGACCATTATTTATATGGCCATTGTTGGTATCTTGTTGGAAGTTAATAGTCAGTGGAGGTGCACGAGGGTGAAGCATTGCCTCGCCAGCATTAAGAGCTACAAGCTGAAGTGCCGACGAAGCTCCACCGCATCCTACGATACGACGCTGCCAATACCGGATACTACAAAGCAAATCAGCTGAATGTGAGCCTGTGGCATCAGCAGTCACCGCATTCGACAGAAGCACTAGCGCTACCGGGTCCACGGCACCGTAAGCGAGACTTGATCCCACTACATGTCGGCGTTGGATCGCTTCTAGCGCGAGTTCACGAACCAAAGAACGACACTCTTCAGGTAGCAAGCTTCCGTAGACGCTCACACAACCAGCGATGGCACCCAAAACTACCTTGAGGGTCAGCGCAATAACAGTTTCGTCACGCATTGAAACGAAGTTAGCTTGGCTTATAGACAGGTTGCCTCCATTTAGAGCTGCAATAGTTGCTGCTGCAGCAGCCTGGCGTTTCCGTTTCTTGCTCTTATTTCCAACGTTCTTTGCGTCATCCTGGTGTGCAGCTGAAGCCTTCGCCATATTGTTCGATATAGTGGTAGAGATAAACTTTCCACCGAGAATGCGCTTGCAGCGCGTAATCAGCTCCTTTAGCAAAGGCGCACCAAGATTTTCTACAGTGCTTGCACCCAAACGACGTGCACACACTGCTGTAGCATCTGCCAAGGCCTGGAGATCCTCGCCATCGCCTACGTTTTCGGAAGCAAGCAAAAAAACACGCGTAATTTGACTAGCGTGACGCAACGCGCAAATTCCAATGCGCTCCACCAATGCACTCACCGCGCGGAGAGTTTGCACACGAACAAGTGGGATCATAGCGTATACGACGCTAGTCGGTAGCCGCACGCCATCATCAGATACACCCGTGTGCTTGCCCACTTCGTGCGCACGCACTCCCATGGCACGCCGAGCGAATAACACCATGTCTGGAAGCATCTGTTGCGCCTCACGCTCAGAGATCTGCCCGCGGCTTCGAGTTGCAGTGCGAGCACTCAGCAGCTCACGCAACGCACCCAGCGCACGAGTCATCCTAATCAGCGTCACTTCCGCACGCTGATAAATTGGTAATTGTTGACTAGCCCCGCCTTGCACCCACATCTTCTTTACCGTCACACCGTCCGTCGACAGTACGGTCGAGCGTTTGCCTGCAAACGAGTCAAGCTGCTGATGCGCAGCTTCCAATGCTTTCTGAGCCATCTGCGTCCACACCTGCTGTGGCTTGTCCGACGCATTGGACAGCAGTGCCAGACACACTGTTGCCTTCTGAGCTACGACCTCATCAGTATACTTCCCATCAGCAGCTGGGAAAAGCGCATCCACACAAGCAGACTCGATCTTCGCAGCATAACTTCTAAGAGAGTTAGGAGACGCACACAACAGTGTTTCAACGAGCTCCAATTGTGCAATAATCAAATTCTTCTTGCTGGTCTTCCACTTGCTCGAAAGCAACGCTACCAACGGCTGCAGAAGCTTCCCCAGCAGCTCCAGCACATCACGACGCGTGTCCGAATTGAACCTGTCCACATGAAGAAGCAGTGACTGAGCCACACCACAAGCAGCAGTAGCAGTGGCTTCTTCTGTATCCACAGCCTCTCGTTTCATCAACTGCTGCTGCTTCAGCAGCTTCACGACGCGCTCCAGCAGCTTTACAGCCAGCGATTCAAGTCGTATCAGCGGACTCTGACGCGTTGTTGTCAGTAGCAGCTCCCATCCTATGCGACAAGCAACAGGTGGTCCCTCTATAAGCTGCAGCAGCCTGGTCTGCCATTTCATCAGTGCCTTGCCATCCGTCACGAGGCCAAAGACGTTGTGGCGTTCTAGAGCCTTACGCAGAGCCGATTGTTGTGTCACAAACGACTCCAGCTCAGCATTGTCACTCTCCAGGTCACAAGGGAGCACCAGTGCCATCACCGATGACAGCAGATTCCGCGCCAGAGCCGTCTCCACGGCGCACGAATTCGTCGTCATGGCAGATGCCCAAGAGATCAAATATATGACTGGGTCGGAGCTGCTTGTTGGCTCACAGTATGTGATTGGTGGAAAAGAGTGATTGAAATTTAAGTTGCAGCGAATCAGAGAAAGGCGTAGTCTGTGTCGTGCCGTAAATTGAAAGACTGGCACATCCGAGCCTAAATCACTTCGACATCTGCTCCAACACACGCGACGCTAACGATCTAGCGCTTACATTTATTGGAATCACTTGTCTAAAAAGCGTTGGCATATTGCACGGTCAAACTGGCGGCCACCGCTTTTTACATCTAATCCATCAGTAGAAAATTGATTTGGTCGTGAAGCGATTAAATATTCTTCATCTCACCAAATTCAATTTGCTGGATGTACGATTACCATCGTCGTGTGCATTTTTCTCGTATATCTTACCCCGTAAATTCATAGATGTAGAGTAAGAGCCAAAGTTTTAAAGTGAACGAAGGGTGGCGGTGTCAGGAGATAGTCATTCCCTTTTTTGTGTCTTTATTAGGCGCCGTCATTGCGATGTATGAGAGCTTCCGATATCAACGCCCTCTACTTTCCGCAGCACAACATCGGGGAGAGTTTTTACAAACCATTTTAACTCACAGCCACACTCGCCACTAACTCAATTGTTGCACAGATGCCTTGACTACGTTCCCATGTTGGCCAGACCACTCAAGAGACTTTGTTCCTCGTGGTCCGGCAGCTTCGTCAGGCTCTACAGGGTTGCTGGTTCTGCGCCTACAAATTGAAACCGCATCGAGGCCGACAAACTCGGTCTGCATCATAGATAACTCCAATCCAAAGAAGGCGCCTGTCAAGACGTGAAGATTGCCACCCAAGACAGAGACGAACTGTCGCAATACGCACGCAAAAACCGAGAGTCCTGTGGGGTACAAGCTATTGCCTACAATCTGCAAGATCTGCAGCGCCAACAAGATTGGGTGTTGCCCGACTTCCTGTGCTACACTTTTAATAAAAAGAACTTGAGCTAACAGTAGTACTACCAACTCCTGCGTTTCTCATTATAAGCTCAACTTTCATTCACGTGCACGGGAGTAAACACATGACGGACAATGCGTGAACTAAAAGCGAGCATGCACGGGATCCTACCTTACTTGCACAACAGCGCATTGCTAAGACGCCGCCGAAATTTATTCACTACCTGGCCAACTAGGTGAGCTAAGCCCTCTACGCATTTGCTGCGTCGACGTCCTCATTCGAAAGTGAGTCCTCGTCATCGTCTGCGTCCCCACTAAGCTTCGCAGCAAGAGTTGATTCCATGCGCTCAAGCTGTTTAGCCAAATCGTTAATCTGCTTCGAGTGGCTGCTGATAGCGCTAACCATCTGACCCTGCTGGTTCCGCAGTTGCTCCTGTGTGCAAGTAGTTTGAGACAGCAACTGCATGAGCTGCATCTCCATATCTTCCTGACTAGGCTCACCACCTCCTGCGGGCGCTACTGCCTGTACTGGTGCTGCCGAAGCTGCTAGGGGTGCTTCCTTCGTTGCAGTGGGTTTCGGCGGTTGAGGTGTAGATCCTAACGATGACCCAGCAGCGACCCGTGATTGCGGCTTCGAAGACTTTTTCGGCGGCGGAATTGTCGGCATTACTGGTACACTAGGCGCCGGAGCTCGCGGTGTACGTTTTTTGCCCTCATCGCTTTCATTCTTCGGTGCTCGCCGTCCTGACGAAGACGACGACTTCAGCGGCGCATCGGCGCCCTCTTCTCGTGATATGGGGTTCTTAGCCAAGATTTCCTCAAACTTGCGCAAAAGGCCACGAACAACCGTCTGCATCTGTGAAATAACATCCATGCAAGCAAACCGCGGAATTACATCAAACACTTCAATGGCTCCAATCGTGTGGCCATTTGACAGCGTAAGTGGTATACCCGCGTAAAACTGCGCTTGAAGCATATCTCGCCGCCATGGATTAGCAGCGAAGCGCACATCACGAGTCAAATCGCTACAAACCAAAGGCGACCCATTTCGGCACGCGTGAGCTGCCAAACATTTCTGGCGGTCAATCTTGTCCAGCGATCCGAGACCCGACTCAGCACACGGCACATATACATGTTTATCCAGTAAACCAACAAGAGCCATCGGACTGGAAGTCGCAATAGCAGCCATGTTACAGAGCTGCATGATAGTCTGCAAGGCCGAGGTGCCAGCCTTCAATGTTCCACAGATTGCTCGAACCGACCGGAGACGTTCTTTCTCATCGTCAAGGTGCTTGGCTGCAATGTACTGGTTCTTGGCAGACGGGTCGGCAAGTTCCAAGAAGAACGGGTAAGGCACTTCAAAGTACTCGTGCAGCGGAGCACAGGCCTCATTCATGCACCAAGGGCAGTTTTCCGTGACCGCCGGCGGTCCAATAAACGAGCCGTGACGTCCTTGCAAACCAGCTGCAGCATCTGCATTGCCACTGCCACTAGTCGTACTCGATTTACGTCGGACAGGAGGATTTGATGAACTAACTGCACGCTTGTCCGTGTTCCCCTGCAAGTCCACCATGTTCGAACTAGCTGTCCCCATCGACAACTCGTCCTTATACGCATTGGATCCGTTTCCCGTTCCGGACGAGTACGACGCAAAACTTAGTCGATCGGTCGTAAAGTCTTCTTCACTGCCACTTGGCAGTGACTCTGTCGTACCGGTAGGATTAGCTCCTCCATTCGTAGAAAAGATGCGGTCGTAGAAATCATCCTGCGACGCAATGGAGCTCAGTTTACAGCTCACGCACATGCGCACCGTAATCGCACCTTCAAACGTGCTCTCAACTCTCCTCGAGATACTGCATGAACTGCAAACTACAGCTGTGCACGTTCGACAGTAGTGTCGTCGCCGCAGTGGGTTAAAGTTCTTGCCACATACGGAACATTTCTTTCTGGTCTTGCATTCAGCAGATGGATTACCATTGGAAACATTACCGGCGGCATGAGGCTGATGGCCACCAGCCACGATTGTCGTGGTATTAGTGCCCGTGATGGAGCTGGTGGTGGTAAAGGTCATGGGCTTGCGGTTACCGCGGCTGCTATGTTCGGCTGTGCGACTATGTTGCATCGCCAAGCTGTGGTTTAGCGCGTCCATATCTATCGCCTGTGTGGCAAAAGTGGCTGATGTTTGATTCGCGAGCGACTCGGTCGAGGAGCTGGCGGTGGATGAGAACGACGCGTTCACAGACCCAACTTGGTCGTCGGTAGCGACTTTTCCACTAAGAAACAAGTTGCTGCTATTGGCGATGTTAAAGTCAAAGAGGTTGCGACCCATGGAGCAGGCAAAAAGCTCTTGGTGGACGGTGGACGATGGCGGAAATAGCGACTGAGGGTTTTTATCTGGATGCAATAGTGGGGGAGACTTTGGGAAAGAGAGAGAGGAAGGGATATTGATTATGCGCCAATGAAAGTGATCCAAAAGGAAACGTGAGAGCCAATTGAAAATGAATAGCCCGACTATAACAAACTAGTCAGAGCCAAAACGTGTCGTTCGGTTGTCAAGGTCAATTGCAGGTAGCCGGTCTGATTGCCTTCAGCTGGTACTGAACTTTGTCAAGTATAAGCTATATTACGTATGTTAACTTTCGAGTGCTTGCTTCCCCATGTAATAACAAAGGAGCTTATGAGTGAAAAGGTGTCACAAGCGTGTCAAACATACGTGTAGAAATGAGATTTTTGTTTTTCGAGCAGTGTTGCTTACAGCCCAAAGTCCCTCCAACATCTCGGCCTGGATGGCCCATGGGCGAGGCCACAACGGACACCTGTGGTACCAAGATGGACTGGTTTTACATCAAAAGAGCCAAAAACTTGTCGTTCCGCTCTCGAGCGGGCGACGCCGTTGAAAAGGACACGGCAGCTTCGCGTTCAGAAAGCGGCCGAGTTGTTGGATTTAGACTCGCACGCTTTTGCTGCTGCGGTGCCTGCCGCTACCCAGCGACTCGGCACGTAGAATTGATTCGGCTGCTAAAGTCGTCGGCGTCGTAGTCGTCCAGCCGAAATTATCTGTCCTAGCTTTTCACGTACTGACTTGAGTTTCTACTAGTAAAATGCAGATCTTTCTATCGGATTTAGGCGAGAACTACTTTAACGAGCACACTCTGATCGTCGATTCCAATAATGTTCAACTTTAACTTCCGCACCGTAGCTCACCCTTTAAATAAAAATATTTACATTCAAGCCAAGTTTTCGTCGCATGTTACATGCAAAGCTGGTCGGCTCTGCAGAGTTGACAACTGGTAGAAAGGTATCCAGAACGAAGCTCATTCTTGGGATCACCTTCCTTGCGACGCCTTTCTTGTTGACCATCCGCTCCTCCTTCGATGTTAGCAAATATCCATCTATCTTACTTATTAGGCAGTTTTTCAGCTCGACATTAAGTCGTGCTGTGGTCTTTTCATTTCCAAGTAGCAGACATACTTGGCTTTCGTGTAGATGTCCCCGTCGCTTCTACGGTTCCTCGACCTGGGAGGACTGCATACTCATCCACCGCCCAGATTACATCAAGAAGACTGCAGCCGGATTACCGTTACGTTGAAAGTTCTTCCTTCTCCTCATACCTATGAATATGTTTACAACATGCAGCCAAAGCTTGCTCTAACAGAGCAACGGGTGTCGTGGCGAGGTCCCCAAGGTCGTCTCACTCGATCCTTGCACCATTTGAACCAGCTCTGCAAGCTCCAGCAGCCTTTTCCGTCAGCGTAGAGGCTAGACGTGATTGCACTAGCTTCTGTAGTGCTGATGTGCACGCTTCAATAGAGCCCGTAAAAAATCCTTCTCGTTGATGACACTTGTGATTTTGGCGTGTTAAATGCAAAACTGCAAAACTACTTTTTGGATTGTGCGAGCATAAAGGATAAGAGTGGAAAGCCTCAACGAGGACCTCAGGCTACAAGTTGTTGTCCTCGCTGCTAGCTATTGCTGACGTTGAAGCGACGTGGACATCACTCCGATAGGTTCGCATGAAGGTATTGCATCTCTTAAGTTCGCTTTTTGGCACAATGAACGCAATGGGAAAAGAGCTGCTTCGAGAGTTGCAGCGTAGCGACTGGTTACCGCCATTTAATGTGAGCAAAGTAGAGAGATGTGACGTTATAAGGATAGTTGTTTGCTCTATGAAACTACTAGTGATGATGATGATTGACGGTTGGCATCGTGCAGGAAGATCTGGTGCGACAGGTGGTGGAGGAGTCACGACTGCTGCATAAGGAGATAGCGAGGAAGATGACGTGCGACGTGGATTTACAGCTATTAGGTTGACGAGGACGCTAATTATTGCGACTATTGTGCTACTTGCTGAGAACAGGGCAATCCAAGACAACTTGGAAACACAACCGGCGTCCGTGCATTGCGGACTCGTCGTGAATCACCAGTGTCTATTGCGCAATAAGCGTTGTCTCATTGCTTATGTGTAGGTAACTCTTTCACTGAAAGTATCAGTTGTAATGAGTGCAACATTGCTGAGATGATTACTCTGCTTGCAGATATCACCGCATGGAAAAGATTAAAGCACTGCGGTGGGAAACGGGTACCATTATCCCTGATTCGCTGGCTCAGAAGTTCGTACATGTCGACCAAGTGCTAAAGTTTGATTGCAACATACTGAGATATTGCTCTTTTGTTTCGAAAGCTTATGCCAGCGTGAGGTGCAGCTCTTTCATCAGTATGACCAGCTGCTGACGGATTACATGACCGACTTTGAGCTCGATCTATCGGCGGTACTATATTGGCTGTTTATTGCAATTGGTTAAATGCTCGTGCTGATCTTGCGATTGTTGTCGCAGGATCTGAAACCTCCAAAGGACTTGTACGTGGAGGTGCGCGTATTGCGTGATTGCGGCGAGGTTATGACAGAGAGCGGAGTAGTGAATTTAACGGCACATTCGCAGCATTTCCTACGACGTGTAGTCGTGGAGCAGCTTATCCGACAGGGTTTGCTCGAGCAGATCAAGCGTTAAGCTCAACGGATAAGCTCCGGTTTTGCTGCAATCTTTCACGGTCATATTACTTGCGTCCAGTATTATCTGCTGGTCGATCGCAAGGAGTAGGGTTCGCTTTCACTGTCTCACCAACAATCCATTAATTCTTATGACCAATCACATCGCTCGAAAGACGCAATTGACGTACGTCAGCTGGCAGGCATTTGACGATTTATCTAGAACCTCTCATAAGTACAACGAGTGATTCGTCTTTAGTGTCAAGTACACCAATGTCTGAAAATGAACCCGCTTCGAGCAACGATAAGTCCGCCTGCCCCAAGAAACCTACGACCAAGAAAAGCTCTAGCTTTTTGTTGCCGATTCTATCGGCCGGTGTAGTAGTGGCGCTCGCTATAGGTTACGCCAAGTACGCAAATGTACCACTGAGTACCGGCGGTCTGCAAAGTCTGGACGACCTCGTGTCCATCTTTGGAGCCAAGTCAGGACTCGTAGACTCCAGTACGGAAAATGTCCCGTACAAATACAAGACGGACATGGTGGCAATCCAGGTACGCCACCTTGTGAGTGAGTTGAAATGCAATGACTCCGACTACTCCGCCTCGACGTTGTTTGAAGGTAAAGTGTTCCCTGTTACGGAGCCAATGGAGGCAGAGCAGCCCATGACCGACGACAGAGTTTTTTTCATGCTCAACGGTGCCAACGACGGCGTCTACGTGTCTTGGAATGGTCAATTTGACTGTTTGGGTCAGGCGGCGGAGACGGCAGCGGCGTGGCTTGGTGCAGATCGAGATTTGATGGCGAACGGCGTACGTCTTTACAGTCAAATGGGCTGGCCAGTTCGCAATACGAAGAAGTTACGTGATACGAACAATATCGTTCATGTGTTGTTAGACTTTCAGTTGTGGCAGTGGCCTGGTATCAAGAAGGGATACAAGTACATCTTGGAGGACGGTGTGACGTTGACGACTATGGGTATTAGTCCCAAGGTGTTTGATGTGAAGTACTTTTTCACCCAGGAAGAAGCTGATAAGGTTATTGAAATTGGGTCGCTGACCCTGGACCGATCAAAGGTGGATGGAGGCAATACGTCTAAAGTGGTGTCAGAGTCACGCACGAGCCACACAGCTTTTTTGCCTGACAGCTTGTTCACGCGTGACTTTCAAAAGCGCTCGGCCCGTGTTGGTCGACTTCCAAGTCCTTCTTTTGTTGAGAGGATGCAATTGGTGCGGTACGCTGCTGGTGAGTTTTACCGGCAGCACTTTGATACCTTTCACTCACGCGAGGTCTTGCCGAAGGGCGCAGACTCGTTTGAGTTTGAGGATTACGTGGTGTGGACTAAGTGGGCAGCAGAAAAACTTCGTGGCCTGGACCAGAGCGATGTACCTGAAAAGTTTCGGGAGGGTGGTCCGTTGTTTCCGAATGCTGATGATCCGATCGTTTTTCCGAATGCACTTCTTGAGGCGTTTCATGAATACATGAACACGTCCAACAGATTCAACGCGCTGTTTGATATCAAGTATGACGAGTGGATCCGTCTGAATTTGGACCGTGGCGCCGAAAAAATAATGGAGGCCTTGATGGAAACGGATCAGCGACCATCGTACTTGCCGAGCATTGTCAAGACGTGGGAGGAGAAGCTGGGTCTTGGTGAGCTTCGCTACACGTTTCCCAAGCACGACACGAACTCCGTTTCACACTTTTTTTACTGGGTTCGTTGGGCGAAGGAACGCGTGAGCTTTTTAGGAGATAAGGTGCCGGCGGACGCTCGTCCTAATGGAAGCTTGTATCCCCGGTTTACAGTAAAGTTCCAAGACATGCTGACGGGATTTATCCTTGATGACTACACCCCGGGCTTTATTATACGCATGACCAATTCGGAATGGTACGACTGGATGGTGTTTAACCGCGGACGCAACCACGTTCTACTCAAAATGATGCAGGTTTGGCCGCAGTTCGCCGAGCTGGCGATCCGTACCTGGGAAGCGCGTGTTGGTAACGTCCCGGAGCTGCGTTACAAGCTGCCCGAGTACGTTCAGCATTTCCATCCGCAGCGGTATGTGACACTGTTCCTATATTTGAACAACCAGACCAAAGTTGGTGGTGAGACGGTCTTTCCTTTCTCATTGGATCGGTATTCGGATGAAGAAATCGTACGCGACGGAATGGACGAATGCTCTTCTGGTCTAGCATTGCCTCCTCTCGGCTTGCATGCTTCTCTCTTTTACGTCCAAACCCCAGATGGCATTCCTGACCCCATGAGTCGCCACGGTGGTTGTCCGCCTCAAGAAGGTGTTAAATGGGGCGCCAATTCGTTCATGTGGGATTCGGATTCCGAAGA